AAAAAAAAATTAAATTTCCCCTTATATTATTTTTTTTTTTTTTTCCAAACCGTCCCGGGGTTTTTTTTTCCCCCCCCCCCGCCGCCCCGCCCTCCCCCCCCCCCCCCCCCCCCCCCCCCCGTCGCTACCTACCGCCCCTTTGTCAACAATACGATCGGATCGCGATAGTACTCGAGCGTGGTGGCCGCCTCGGTCCGAGCTGAGAGGCTTGTCCTCAACCCTCAAACAGATCAAACTCTGCCAGAATCGAGTGACCTGACCAACTACGCACGTCACTCACCGTCATGTCTCGGGTTCTTGCAAGCTTCTGACTCTGGCTTTCTGCCAGATATCTTGGCTTTGCATGAGGTCAATCTTGACCAAGAACCGAATCTTACGATACGCCTACATTCCGCCCGGACGCGTTTGCGCCTCTGCTAAACCGTCGAGGGCTTCTTCTCGATCTAAGAGGCTTACTGCCCGATGCCATCATTGCAATTGGGCAACGAACCGGTCGTTTTTCAACAATGGACGAGGATACCAATAGACTGGCCCCCCCGGCCGTCACCTCACTCCGTGCTCAAGCCATCGGCCGTTCAATGGAAAGATCTTTAAGCGCAAACATTAGGGAAGAGCGTGAAGAACTTCGTGAGGCCGCGGAGCAGACTTTGAATGTCATTATGGACCTCAATCTCGATGGCTCTATTCGGTGGGTTAGCCCATCATGGGCCGATGTTATTGGGACAGATCCAGATGCCGTCGAAGGCACCCCGATCGCCGACTTGATTATTAGCGAGGACAAGTCTGCATTTACCGAAGCTATTGATTCGATGAAGAATGATGATTCACGTAGCCACTATGTCCGATTTACCGTTTACCTAGGTCCCCTGTCTAAGTTATATCCTACCGATGCTAGCAAGGAGTCTGAAGCAGACCAAAGCAACTCTGCCACGGTCGAGTTAGAGGCTCAAGGGATTATGGTCTACGATCGCACCACTGGGGGCGAAAGTCATGTAGGAAACCGAACTCATATTAGTTAACTTTAGGCTGACTCCTCCCAGACTATGTGGATGATACGGCCATGGGTTCCACCACGAGAGATAAAAATTGACCTCGCACCGCTGCTTGTAGATTCTCTTGGGTCGGGTGCTGAGGTTCTGGCTAGCTATTTAACCCAATTAGCTGAGTCTGGAAACGAAGATCCCTCAAAAAACCCGCCGCCGCTGCCAGTTTTGTGCCGCATCTGCGAACGCCAAATACCGCCTTGGTGGTTTGAAAAACACACGGATCTATGCCTCCAAGAGCATCGAGCTGAAATGGATGTTCAGATAGCCCAAGAGAATTTAACTGAACATCGACACGCTATCGTCAAAGTACTAGATGCGCTAGAGGCCCGCAAGAGCCGTACTCTTTCAGGAGAGCCAGGATCGATACCTATTGCCGAGTACAGGGGCTTACCTATAGGGCCTTCCTCCACTACATCCTCCCCCGGGGCGGCATCTCCAACTCCATCATCGAGGGATCGATCGACCGGATTCGGCCATGGTCGCTCTCGATCGTTTGCGGTCCGACGTCCTCAAGCCCGTATTGTGGAGTTGCTCCTGGACCTGTGTGATACCGCTATCGAAATCAGCACACCCGCAATCAAGGAATCCTCGTCGCAAGAATTTCGAACTCAGTCACCGCAATCCGAGTCTCGAATATCTCAGGTGCTCCAATGGCAATCTCCTGGCTCGAATACCCTTGAACAGGAGCAGGGTTTAGCTTTGTTATGCGCAGAAACCGAACGAGTTGCTAAAGAGAAGGTCGAAGCCGTATTTCGCCACAGGAGGATAATCGAGTATGCGGAACGGATCCGGGTGGAACTTACCGTCATAGTAGAGAATTGCGTCGAAGATGCCATGCGTAAGGCAGCTCGTATCGCGGAAGGTCGGCTGAGCGACTCGACTGAGGATGAAGGTGAAGAAGAGGAAGAGGAAGAGGAAGAAGAAGAAGAGGAGGATGACGATGAGGGAGACGACGATGAGGAGGAAGAGGTCGAAGAAACCCCGGTGGCACAGGAAGAGCCCATCTTTGCTGGGTCGTTCGATACGCCCTCTTCACTGGCACTTGCTCTCAAGAATGTGGACTTGGGCGATGCAAACGAGAAAAGGCGCCCTTCTTCTATTATTGAGTCTACAAGGTCAAGTAGCCCTAGGGAATGCCCAACGCCAAAATCCCACCGGGAGGTGTTAGGCACCTCTAATACATCCCGAGCTTCTCGCCGGGGATCTGCCTTGCTTGAGACTGATGCCGGAGACAGTGATGGTAGTGGCAGATCCACTTCCGTAGCGAGGAAACCGCCTCGGACTGATTCGCCTATGTCCGAACGGGGTGGTTTACGACGTGCTACTAGTTCGCGCCAACATCAAAGGCGAAGCCTCGTCCTTACCGGT